AAAAAGATGAAAAGAGACAAAGAAAAAAGAAAGAAAAGATACAAAGAATAGTAAAAGATGGTAAGAAAACAGAAAGAATAAAAAGTGGGAAAATAAAGAGACAAATGGAGAATGGAACCTAAAAGATGCTTAGAAATATTTTTTTTTAAAATTGAAAAAGAGAGACAAGCAAAAAAGAATGTCAGAAAAAAAAAAAAACAAAAAAAAAAATAGAGAGAAAGGGAGAAATTAATTCATCATGAATAACAACTATTTTTACAAACAAAAAAAAAAAAAAAAAACAAAAAAAAAAATAAAGCGATTCATCATGAATAACAACTATTTTTCCCATCATTTAGGGACCATCAAAGAGGAAATGAATAATGTTTCCCATATAAACATGAAAAAAGATAAAAAAGATTCTAAAATTTTATCAATACACTTGTCAAATCGGAACATTTTCTATAAATTACCAAAAATTGGTATCTCTTAATAATTTATCATTGAAAATTATTTTTTAGCATCAGACATTTTTGATATAAAGGAAAATTGGACATTAAATTTTGCCGTCTCAATTTAAAATTAATTTGATTTAATCTTTTCATAGACTATTCACAGAATTTATAAAATGGCCGCGTCGTTTAAATTTGATGCTAAAATCCCCAAGGGTATTGTGGAATTTCCAAGGATAATTATTTGCAATGGATCCTAAAGTAAACATGATTAGCAAAGTGTTTACATTATAACATAATATAGACTATATATAATATATTTTACAATATGAGACGCCATTTTTCAGTAATGTTTGCCTTCATCTTTGACTACTGATAATGCTTTTCATTCTGACTTTAATACATTTCTTGAGCGAAACCCGAAGCATATATACAATTCACTCAGCATTTATCCCATAGTTTCCTGACCACTGACAATTGTTTTCATGTAAATTGTTAATGTATTTCTAGAGTAAAATCATTAGAAATCTATTTACGTTATACACATTATTAATACACTTGCATTAATAATGAGATATACTTATTGGTAATTGGAAAACAATTTTTCTCTTATTTTAATGTATTTCGATAGTAAATATTGATAGTAATATTAGCCAATTCCTTATTAGGAAATATTAGGTGTTCATTGATCGAGCAGCCTGTGTTATTTCCGTTTGTAATTTGTAAAAGCCTTTCTATTAAAACAATTGTCAGGAAAATAGGTTCCTCAAGTCTATTAACTCTTAGTACTCTTTCCAGTACCGATTTTTCGAATCAGTGCGAAATGCCATTCTTCCCATAAGGCACGAATATTCATTGGATTGATTCTCTCTTTCAAACACACGTAAAATCTTTACTTCTTCATTTCTTATGCTCTGTTTTTGTTACTATTTTCTCGTCGAGTTACAAGTGTTGTGAATTTTAGTAGCTGTTGCTGTTAAAAGTCCGCAAGTGATGGGGTCTCTGTTATCATACATACAGCTTTTTTCCTGATTCTGTAGTACCATTACATGAAGTTCGAGAAAGAATTGTTCTTGCTAAGAACTACATACTTCATTCGCTTGATGCCATTTTTAGGCATAGATATCAGAAAGTAGTTGTATACAGATGACCGTTTAGATATTTCTGAAAGGGTTTGATGCCAAACATGATATCCATATGAAAGTTTCTATCTGACAAGGCCATTCAAGAACATTACTCTTTCCAGTATTGATGGGGGGGGTCTCAACCTTTTATTTGAGGTTAGTGTGAAATGTCAGCCTGTTGATTATGTCATTATTTTCTCTTCAAGATGCAATATCGATTTTGGCCGTTGCCATTGTTGAAAGTCCTCAAGAGCTGTGATTTCTGTTATTTGGAACTGTTCTTTGGGATTTTGTAGTATCAGCCCACAAGGTTCAAAGAAGTGTGATCTTCCTAAAGATCTACAGGCTTCACTTGCTCAAAACTATTTTAGACATTGATCTTAGGAAAAGGTTGTATATAGCTGACAGTTTCGATATTTCAGAATGGGTTTAGTACCATGCATGACATCCATATAAAAGCCTCGATCGGATGAGGTTATTCAAGAACACAAGACTTGTGTTTTCAGGTTAATGTTTTGTAGCAATTTGAGGTTTTGAGCGAAACTATCCCTAGCACAGCCCATTCTATGTTCAATTTCCTTTTCTTCTACAATTAATTTGTTATAACTTATCCATACACTGAGGTATTTGGAGATTTTAGTATTTACTAATTCCACATCCTGAATTTTTTATGATGGATTCAGCATATGTGCCATCACTACTTTCATCCCAATTCCAGATCATAGTTTCTGTTTTAGAAAAGTTTATCTTGAGTTCTGTTTCTTGGATCAATCAGAATAAAAACATTATGAAATCTTTAAGTACAAGGCAGCAGGGAGTAAGCAATATTTATTTTAATGTGCAGAACAGCTTTAATATTGTACTCATACATATGTGACAAGGCCACGATACTTACACAGGAAATAAGAGCCTTCAATAGCTTTTCAATCCCGGCTAAGTAAACCAACAGAGAATCTCTCTTCACCAGTGCGGTCTCGGGTCCTATCTGATTGCCTGTAAAGTTATATGAAACTAACACAACCGATTCTCAAAAGGGTTTGATACTTTCTGGACAGAGCTTGCTAGATAACTGCTACTCCGTATATTTACACCGTACAAAAATAGAGGCGAATAAACGTATCTTTTATACAGAAACGTCTCCAAGCAAAAGAAATCAATGAGTCGAGCGCTAGCAAACGAACAAAGCCAAGCCATATTGGGAATGTGAACGCAAAATCATCACAAAACATATGAATATTCATTGGATTGATGCTCTCTTTCACACACATAAAATCTCAACTTTTTCGTTTCTTATCGATAAGTGTTCATAAGCCAAGCGAAAACGATTCGATTTACGAGCCTACGTATTATGAAAAAAAGAACAGATAATGGTGTAGTTCACAAAGTAGAAGTTTCTGTAGTAAGTTCATTTAAAAACGGATCTCTGAAATCAGTAAATACAGGTACGAAGCGGTTCGCCTTAAATTCCTGAATAAAAAAAATAAACTGAGTAACTCTGAACGCCTCCACTTCTCGCAGAAATTGGACAGGAATTTAGCAAATTTTCGTTTTATTAGATAGGATTTATAGCTACATCAATTGAATACCTCAAACAGCAGCGGCAATAAATTTTTTTTAGGTGGGGATCATGTAACTAGAAAATGAAATAATGAAATAATCATGCTGTTAGCTTTCCACACTACCAAAAAAAGACAAAATAAACGGTAGGGAGGAAAGTCCCATCAGTATTATAAAAAAAAAAAACTATAGCAGTAGGCTTTCGGTGTTTAATTTCCTGAAAAATGGTTTGAATGGAAAAGATTTTATAAATTTCCACCGAAAATAGCATCAGCTGTTTGGTTAATGAATGCTGAAAGATTCTTTGGAAAGAAACGGTTAATTTCAACATTGCCATTCATATTACCATATTTGACGGAATAT